CTGCCGGGATTCGGGCACGGTGCTTCCAGGATCCATCCCCGCCACTCTCGGGGTTCGGGCACGGGGTGTTCCGGAGATCCATCCCTGCCCCGCTCCAGGAATCCATCCCTGCCTCACTTCCTGATCCATCCCCGCTATTCCCGGGATCCATCCCGCTATTCCCGGGATCCATCCCCGCTATTCCCGGGATCAATCCCATCCCCGCTGTTCCCGGGATCCATCCCCGTCATTCCCGGGATCCATCCCCGTCATTCCCGGGATCCATCCCCGCTGTTCCCGGGATTCATCCCTGCCCCATTCCCGGGATCTATCCTCGCTGTTCCCGGGATCCATCCCCGCTATTCCCGGGATCTATCCCTGCCCCATTCCCGGGATCCATCCTCGCTGTTCCCGAGATCCATCCCCGCTATTCCCGGGATCCATCCCTGCCCCATTCCCGGGATCCATCCCCGCTATTCCTGGGATCCATCCCTGCCCCATTCCCGGGATCCATCCCCGCTATTCCCGGGATCTATCCCTGCCCCATTCCCGGGATCCATCCCTGCCCCATTCCCGGGATCCATCCCCGCCGTTCCCGGGATCCATCCCCGCCGTTCCCGGGATCCATCCCCGCCGTTCCCGGGATCCATCCCCGCCGTTCCCGGGATCTATCCTCGTTGTTCCCGGGATCCATCCCCGTCATTCCCGGGATCCATCCCCGCTATTCCCGGGATCTATCCCTGCCCCATTCCCGGGATCCATCCCCGCCCCGCTCCCAGATCCATCCCCGTCATTCCCGGGATCCAGCCCCGTCATTCCCGGGATCCATCCCTGCCCCATTCCCGGGATCCATCCCGGCCGTTCCCGGGATCCATCCCCGCCGTTCCCGGGATCCGGGCACAGGGCTCCCTCTGCCGGGCCGCGGGAGCGCTCCGCGTTCCGGGACGGGCGGGTCCGGAGCCCCCCCTGCCCCGCCCCGCCCCGCACATCCCGGGACACCGCGAAACCGGGAAACGGCGGCTCCGGGCCCTGTAGGGCGGTAATACCGCGTACTGCCCGCCGGGACCCGCCACGTTTGGGAAAGGGAGAGAGAGGAAGGAAGGAAGGAAGGAAGGAAGGAAGGAAGGAAGGAAGGAAGGAAGGAAGGAAG